TTGGAAACTTCTACTCACTGGCTTAGTTATCTTGTTGGCTACAAAATAGAGGTGTCCCTACCTTTGCCTGTTTAGTTTTCACCACTTTTCCTTTTTCAGTATGCTAAATGCAAAATGTGTATTTTAAGAGAATAAAGAGAGGTGTTGGTCAGGATGCCAGTTCCTGTAAATCCTTGTGTGTCATAAAATGTTTGCTTGGAGCTAGATCAAATGATTGATGTGTAGTTGATAAGTTATTCAATAACCTAATTTCCATACAAGTAATATGCATAGGCCTACCCCCCCGTTCCTTGTGGGTGTCAGTGCCTGCTTGGTTGTTGCTGTTTGGCTTTGCCTTAAGGTATGATCGATCCATCTCCACTTTCTCCTCTTCAGCTCTGCTTCTATTGCTTCTGTTTGGTGCATTCCCACAGGTTGATGTTGTTGATTGTGTGTGGCCAGTAGTTTCCTAGAAGGCGTCACAGACAGTGATTGGTAAATGACTGCAGCTTGTTGATGATGTTAATGGTGGTCTTCTGAGTTTCTGATCCATACAGCAGCAAGGTCTTAACGTTGGAGTTGAGTGAAATATCTTTGGATTTCCAGTTTAAAATGTTAAATGCTGTTTTTGCTTTCCCAGTTTTTGCCTTTACATCTTCCTCTGCTGCTCCGTCCACAGCTATAGCACTTCTTAGGTAAGTGAATTCAGTGACCTCTTCAAGTGTCTGATTCTCAATGGTTATAGGATTACTGCTTTTGTTGTTGATCCGCATGCTTTTGGTTTTCGATCCATTTATTTTGAGCCCAAGTCTCACAGCTGAGACGTGTTCTGCATCTGTTGATGGGTATGTGAGGGTAGTGTGATGTCGTCAGCAATGTTGAGGTCTTCAAGATCGTCTGTCAAGCTCCACTATATGCCGGTCTGATTATTGTTGGTGGTTTGGTTTATGATCCAGTCGATAGGTAAGAGGAAGAGGAAAGGAGAGAGCAAGCGGTCCTGTCTCGCACTTCAACCTTTTCTTGTGCTCATCCCTTGGTGGAGCACTTGGCACCGCATCCCCTGATAGGTGTTCTTGATGATGCTGATGTATTTTGGGGGGAAACCATAGTGTGCCATGAATTTCCATAGCAACTCATGGTCTATGCTATGAAAAGCCTTTTCAAAATCAATGTATCGCTGGGATCGCTACCATCTGAACAGGTCTTTTGAGGAGCTCCCGAAAGTCCACCTTTGATGTTCTTCTCATTAGACAAAGTTGTCCCTGTACATCACTCATCTTTGTGTACAAAGGCAGAAACCCATAGATTATGAAGCAGCAAACAAGGAGGTGAAGAAAAGTGACAAACGTAACAAAGGGAATTACACTGAGGACTTGGCACAACAAGCTGAAGAAGCAGCTAGGAAAAACAACTTGAAGGAACTCTACCGAACTACCAAAAACTAGCTTTCAAATGTAGACGGACAAACACACAGATCCATGAGTTCAGTGATTGAAGCAATTGAAAGCCTGGGCTATGTTTTACATTTATGCCGCGGCAGAGGTACTACACTGCTCATACCGCCTGACACTCAGCCGGTGTCAGCTGAGTGCAGAGTGAAATTGTTCTTGCAGCTAATTCAGGCCCCAGTCATTTTCTCCTATAGATGACTCCTCCACACAGTCTCTGGACACACGCGCACACACACGCACACATACACAGATCTGCGTGCAGATCTGTGTATGTGTGTGTGCGTGCGTGCGTGCGTGCGTGTGTGTGTGTGTCTCAATTTCAGAATCGCTGATCCATAAGACACTAAAAGTCTCTTCACTCTAAGTCTAACATGACTCAAAATTTGGCATTCTGATGTACAAATTAAACTTGATGTTTTAATGTCAACTTTCACACTTCATCTGCTCTGTGCACCGCTGCCCTCTGCTGGGTCAGTCTGGCAGGAAAAGCCACATATTGTGTGGGGGGAGTTGTGCTCCGATGCTGTTTAAGGACCATGACAAGACCAGAGCCAAGAGCCCGTTTGACCATATATGCATATATGCATATATGTTCACTATTGCGTATGCGGTGCATCTCGGCCATCCTGCTCTGTGTGCGCTTTAAACTTGGGGAACTTTGACCAGTACTCCGTGAGCACAACCAATGGCTGAAGGCTACTGCTTGTGCTGCAATTGAAGATGGATTCTAGACGTGTGACCATACAATAACAAATCATTCATAATGAAGGGATGAATCCGAAAGACTTTTCATCTAGGGCCAATATGAGGTTGACATCTTTGGTTTTGAGTGAAATATATTACCAACTATCAGGTGGGTTGCTATGGAATTCAAGATCACCAGAGGATGAATTTGAATGACTTTGCTGATCTTTTAACTCTTCTTCTTGCATCATCATCTGGACAAAATAAGAATATACCCAATGTTTTGATTTATTATGCCTGCTGATGAACCTGGTAAACTGTACCTACTACACATCAGAATGTTAGCATGCTGATTAATTCATCATTTAGCTCAAATCCCAGTTGTGCAGTACAACCTCACAGAGCTGCTTGTCGGGCTGGAGACTCTTAGTCTTGTTCCATTATAATTTGAATATGACCTTACTGACCTCTCTACAAAGTCTGTGGCTCTCAGACCCAAGCTCACTGGTTCTTCTCAAGGCATACACTTTGAAAAACACGTCACAGATATTTAGTTTCATTTAAAAAAAGGCTCAGTGATTTCCTTTAAAAGCTGTCCACTGTAGTTTCTTTCATCAAATGTTACTCAAACATGAGGAAATCGAGCATTTTGGGGGACAAAATTCAGCATTCCAAATGCAGATTTGTTCCTTCATTACCATGAACACAGTGGGGCTCACTCATGTGCTTTTAATTGTTTTTGGACAACAATGGTGCTGGATGGCTAAGAGAAAAAAGATACGTCAGGCTTGAACACACAAACAGTACTCGTTAGTAGATACATGTGCTGTTGGTGTGGTTCAGAATGCATCATTTAAAAAAATGACAAAACAATTGTACTAGCACTCATACTTTTACATCTGTGCCCATCTCTCTTTGTCACTCCTTGTAGAGTGAAACGGGCTCTTTCCATTTTGTCCCTCTCTCACTTGCATGCGCATGCACACACACACACACACACACACACACACACACACACACACACACACACACACACTTGCTCTTGTCTCTCAGTCGGACAGCTCTGCCAACTCAGACTGATTATATTAATGAACTGAGGTGCTGGAGTTTAATGATGTGGAATAGAGAAATGGACAATGTGACTTTATAAGGAAGCTTTACAGATGTACAGTTGGTGAGAGGCAGAGAGAGGGAGGAAGAGAAGCAATAAGTTGTGCTACTTCTAATGTTTAAAATGACATGATATCATGATACTAAACCGCTGTGTTCTCTGCCCCTTGGCTGTCTGTTTGTCTTTGATTTAGATGAACGTTTTGTTCAGATGCCAAAACTATACTTTTCTAATAGATCAATATCTTGATGTGTTGTCTTCTGTAATGGCACCACCATTACTGCAGTAGCAGAGTACAACTGAACACATTGACATTGACAGTGCGAGATGTTTGACTTTTAATATGTTAATGTAACCTTCACTTGAATAGAAATTAAATTTACTATATTTTGACATATTTTGTTGCAAAACCAGTTCAGAGGTAAAATTATTTTCATACATTACAGCATTTTTGCAAGAAAACACAGTTATTAAATAATTGATTCCCTCTTCCACGCTGCCTGTTACTACTGTAAAGAACATCTGCAGGCCCAGTTCATCATCTGTGCTGGTCATGGAGAAATTGCAATGACTCATTGCACACAAAGTAGCTGCTCCACTGGAAACCTGCAAGAAGGTGCTGCTACACCATTCAGTTACTGTAGGTCCCTGAGACTTAAATCAATACACATATACCTGACACTGAACAGCTAGGCTGTGGTACAAAACCCTGTTACTCTTGCAATGTCCCCACAGGCCTGGCCCCCTGACTTATCTTATTAACTTACCTGACTTTGAGAAATGTACATATGTATGATACAGCTGGCAGTCGGACCAGCTGTCTCCTCAGCACTGAGCGAGAGGACCGTCCAATAATCCTTTTCATCTCATCCCTGTGGTTTGCTTTGATATGATGCAGATTGCTGAAGTTCATTTGGAGACATCACATGTACAGCTGCCTTTCGAGCTGACCCAAATAGATCTTGGAGCGTCCTGTTGAGGACGATTTTTGACCTCTGTCCTCTCCTCAGGCTACAGTTGGTCTGATCCGGAACCTGGCGCTGTGCCCAGCCAATCAGGCGCCAATGAGGGAGGCAGGTGCCATTCCACGATTGGTCAACCTACTCCTGAAGGCTCACCAGGACACACAGAGACATGCCTCCTCCGCACAGCAGACATACCAGGTCTGGACCATGCGAACGAACACACACACACACAGAGAAGCAATGTGTGTGTGTATGTATTGTACTAATGGCAAGCACTCAGTATGTCGTTAAACATAGCTTAAACAGAGGATCAATCTTGTCTTTGTCTTAATCAGCCGCTCAGTAATGGGCTTCAGTGTGTGCTTTAACCCAGTACCCAACTACACAGTTCTGCCTGGTGTGTCATTAGCAACCACTGCTGTACCGTTTGATTGAATGAATACAAGTCTTCCTTCGTGCTTTCTTTGACACCTCTCTGCTTCTGTCTCTGTTTCCAGGATGGTGTTCGTATGGAGGAAATAGTAGAGGGCTGCACGGGAGCGCTTCACATTTTGGCCAGAGACCCCATGAACAGAGGAGAGATTGCCAGCATGCAGACAATACCACTGTTTGTACAGGTATACTCTCATCAGGCTGCACAAACTACAGAAACAGACAACATTATATCAGCATCATAAACCTGTATTCTTTAATTTTTGTCCTTAACAGTTTGCAGTGGATACTGCAAGCTGTTTGAGGGATAGAGAAGGAGGTAGAAAGCTCCCATTGGTGGAAAACATTCATCAGATTCCAGACCTGATATTTGTGATGGATTAGAAGACAATTAATAAGCAAAGTTGATGAAGAAGATGATGAATGTTTGCATTGACATGTCTGAGCAATGATCCCAAATCAGCCAAACACTTTACGCCGTAAATTGAAATAAATACATTTAAATAAAATGATAATAGTTGGTTATATTGGGCAAATATTCTGCAATGTTTGAAATGTTTAAACTACAGGTATAACCTCCTCACACTACCATTAATGCGTCACTGTTCAGACTCTACTACTGTTGCCTGAGCTGCAGCGGGTTGCCAGATTGCCAAGTATTCTCCATATCTTGCATTTTCATCTTCATGAAAATATCCCACTTTTTGCAGAAAACACACAAACCTGGCATGCAGGTCTTACCAACAGCACTGTGTGGAGTTTAAATGACAAGATCACTTGAGATCAGTACGAACCATTCAGCAGTACTTTGATATTATTAAGGACATGATGATACCGTCTGTTTTCTTTAAAGACGGCATGTAATGAAGCAGCTGATCAATGGTACCCTTACAGAGGAAAATAAAAGAATGACTGAGAATTACAGCCGGCTAGACAATATTGCACAGCCACACCTATAGACATATTAAAGCCTCCAGGTAGGTTAATCTGTGAAGTGAGAACACACCAGCCATACAAACAAAATTGAAGAGGAAGTACCAAATGTTTTGACAGAAAACAAACAAAAAGTATGCAAATAACCTGTGTTAAAAATACACGGCAAGTCTGAAATGACAGATCCATGTGTGTGTGTGTGTGTGTGTGTGTGTGTGTGTGTGTGTCCAGCTGCTGTACTCGTACGTGGAGAACGTGAAGCGAGTATCAGCGGGCGTCCTGTGTGAGCTGGCCCTGGACAAACAGTCTGCAGAGCTCATCGATGCAGAGGGAGCCTCAGCACCGCTTATGGAGCTGCTGCACTCCAACAACGAGGGAATAGGTACGTCTCTCTCTCCTCTCCTGCTTCACAGGCTCATCCCAACAACTATCGCCCAATGTGTGCTGTTCTATGCAAAGCTAGTTCAGACTAATGCATGTGTATATCTGCTGTAATATAACTGTAATGGATGGAGTTAACCTTTTCTAAAACAGTGAGTGTGTTTCCACTAACCTGTTCAATGGAGACAGACTTAGCAAACACATCAGGACCTACATGAAGCAGGGGACTTAAACCTCCTTTGAAGCGTTTGCTCCACTGGAGAGACTAAAAGAAGAGGCAGTGTTAAGAAGGCTTTAATGTTGTCTGGAAATAATTCGACATATTCCACAATCTAGTTTAAAATCGTATTTGTTCATCCTCTTCATTGCTCCAAAGTATCTTCATACAAAGGTTCTTAGGATATCCTGCGAAAATGTACTCCTCATTTTTCCTACAAAAGCCTGCAACTCGTTACATGAATACAGTCTTTTCAGAATACACGTTGTCTTCATGGGAAACCTAGTAAGGTTTAGGAAAAGATCGTCGTGTGGGTTAAAATAACTACGGAAGTGCCATTACAGAAGTACACAAGTTACCTGACAAAAACAACGTTGGCTTCTCATTTCACTGGAGGAACAAACAGCTATCGCCTCTGGGCTAAAAGATGGCTGTTTGTTGCACCCACCCACCTAATGTGTGTGATGTCAGTGGTTTTTATACGTCCCCGTTCAGGACTACATGGATAACATGTGAAAGAATTCCACGGGATAACTACGAATTCCGGCGCATTATTTTTCGTAGTTGTTGCTACGAATGCTGGATGAGACCAGCCTGATCTCTCACTCACTCAATTAGCCCTAAAACTCCTTAAACACTTCCCACGTATCTTTAAACTATAAAACTGGACTTACCCCTACCGTAACCATAAACAAGAGCCGAGTCAGATAATCTCCCACAGAAATGTCAAAGAAAACGTATAAAAGAAGAATCTTTGTCTCACTCTTTAGGCAGAGCTGTAACTGTGCTGCCACTGCACAGGTAAGAGGTCTCCTTGCCTGACTAGCTGGTCCAGCTAATTAGTTAACCAGCTAATTAAACTGAAAGGGGTGACTCTATTCAGAACAGGCATATACAATTGTGATCTGTGTGGAGAGACCGTCACCGTCCTGACATGAATACATGAAACAAAGAGAATAGTTATACTTCTGTTGTGCTTCACATGGTTGTCCATCGTTTGAGCTTTAATGGGAGCTCTTTTAGTTACATAATCTTGTTGTGTCGTCTTCCTCTGCAATGATTTAATGACATAGTGGATGGACACATACAGTACATTCATTTTCTTTTGCTGATTTACTTGAAATGTGGCTTATAAATGTGGCTTCATATTGGATAATCTAAACACAGCAAACAGCAAACTGTGTGTGTGTGTGTGTGTAGGTGTGTGTGTATGTGTGTGAAAAAAAGTGGAATTTCTGAAGAAAAACATTCTGTTAATTCTCATGATCACACGTTTGCAAATTCACGGAGGAACTTAATGTTTATGTGTTGGGTGAAATGAGTGCTTTAGTGCATCAGAGAGGACGAATGAGGGAGTGGCCTTTTCCTTTTAATCAGTTTATAAATAACTGTGTCGTTGCCGTCTCTCCAGCCACCTACGCCGCAGCAGTGCTTTTCCGAATTTCGGAGGACAAGAGTTCAGACTACAGGAAGAGAGTGTCAGTGGAGCTCACACACTCACTCTTCAAACATGACCCTGCTGCCTGGGAAATGGTAAGAACCCTGTGTGTGGATGAACACAAAGGTTTACCTCAACACCAACCAAAGAACACACTGCTAAATGATAGACCCCATAGATCACAATCAATGTGTTTCAATAGTTCTACACGAGTGCACCCACTATTTAAAAAATAAATATTGCTCAGGTCATGTAAATACATTTTTTGCACAGCACACCAGTTATTTATATTACCTTAGAGAGTACTAGAATATCGTACTCAAGAACAAGAAGTTGTGTAAAAATGAACTTAGATTAAAGTAAAATTGTAGGTCAGTAAAAATATATCCTGAGTAACTGTTACCATTTTCTTGAAAAGAAGAAAAAAATTGATACGATTGTATGTTTTTTATATATTATAAAATGTTATATGATGATATATGAGACTACTGTACTGATCAAATATCTCTATCTCTCTCTCTCTCTCTCTATATATATATATATATATATATATATATATATATATATATATATATATATTAGTGCTGGGCAAGTTAACGCTTTAATTTCGCGTTAACGCATTCATTAATTAACGCCGACAATTATTTTATCGCGTTAACGCATTTTTAAAATTTATTATCATTTTTTTTTTTTATTGAAAGACAAGAGACAATACATATAGTACATAACAACAAGAGGATGACAAGAACAGTGGGATAAAAGCCAGCAAACATCCTATAGTCAGTTGTGTGTGTGTGTGTGTGTGTTTGTGTGTATGTCCTTGAGCCTTTTGAGATGGGAAAAAAAAATAATAATAATAATTAAAAAACAACATAAAAAAAAAACAGTTAAGTATTTTTAATTTATTATTATTGTAACAGACTGTCTCATGTTTATCATTTTGTATTGGAGATATGATGTCCCTTCAGGGTTGCCGTAGAGAAAAGGCGACTTCCGCTTCTGGTCGAGGGGGGGGGGGGGCAGAAATAAAGAGAGAAGCTGCACCAGCTGTTGCTCTCCCTGGAGACTACTGGACATCGCTGCGGTAAAGTCAGCAGACACTCAGATCTCCGTGGTCAACTCAGCAGACACTTACATTTTAGTGCACCTATATGCTGAAATTTACGGTAAACGCATTTAAACGGCACAGATCGGGAGCGTGCGAAGGACTTTGAAAGTTAGCGGAAAGATTAATGTGAGACAACATCCGGTTTCTTCAGACGAACATCCAGTTTTCAGAATAAGATGCCAACAAAGTATGAATTATATTCACATTAAGTATAAAACATGCTACCTGCATCTCGTGAACCAAATGGTATTGCCCTTTTGTTCATATAGCAGTACTTTTAAAATAAAAGTGCGCAATACACTACTTTTGAATTCATTATTGAACTTTGCCATAATAATGCGATTAATCGCAAAAAATCCATGCGATTAATCGCGATTAAATATTTTAATCGTTGCCCAGCACTAATATATATATATATATATATATATATATATATATATATCATTATTAGCATTTTGCATAACATTATGAATTATAATTACCTACCTGTGTACATAACCTTGTTCTTAGCTGTTATTTCTTGTTCTAATAAGTACATTGTGAGAGATGCAAAAGAATGTTAAATTCCCTGTATGTGTACCATACTTGGCCAATGAAGCTCATTCTGATCCTGATGGTTTATGGAGTACACACAATTTCAACAGGATTCAGCTCATGTTATTTTCTAGACTTGCTGTACTATTTCCTAATCCTCACATTGCGTTTGTTTTGTTTTTTTCTCCAATACAATCAAACATGGTGTCAGAAGGCCAGGTTACCATTGGCTTGTGAGGGCTAGAGGCGGGAGGCTCAGGTGGAGCGTGACTGACAGTCCTCACATTACAGAACGTGTTACCTAGCAACAGTTACTGGTAACTCCATATATGGACAGGCTGGTGCTGGTGATATGATTGACGAACAACAAATTTAGACAGCATAGATAGTCCTCACTTTAGATGAGGTCACACAAAATACTTAACTAACGACTAGTAACTACCTGAATTAATCATGAATTGCAGTATCAATACGCATTTATAAAGCATATATTAACATAGTCACTAACCATTAGTGCATATCTAAATCATTATATATATAAATGCATGAATAATGTGCATCTAAATAAGTTATTAATCATTTACTAACACTTTTATAAAGGATGTTATTATCACCTACAACTCCTTAATAATTGTTTTTTAATACTTCATTTACAAATGCAGAATCCATCATTTATAAAGTATGAAGACACAATCACGAAACACATAATAGACCAGGTTATTAATCAAGAGTAAAGCATTTATAACTGTTATAAATAGGATACTAATGAGTGTTGATGTAGGAACAATGATTTACAAATGATGAATTAAGTGTTTACTCATACTTAACTAATGCTTTATAGTGTAGTTATTATAAAGTGTTACAAATAACGGAAAATGATTGGGAAAGGATCAAAACTTTCAACTGTGTTAGAAAACTTAACAATGTAACTCATGAGCATAACACACATTTCTGGATATCATCGATCTCCTGTATGCCACCTACTCTCCCCACCTTATGAAGACCTACCTATGCATGCACACTACCCTTCCACTCCCAAGACATCTAAAAAACAGCAGTATGGTAGAAATATAAGCAGTGACCCAGTACCAATACTGGTACTACTCGCTGCTGGACCACAACTATGTTATGTGGTTAAAACACACACATTCTTCCCAAACAGGGCGTTACTTTATAATAACCATCATTATCATCAGTTTGTGTAACTTGAAATTATTAATTTACAAATAATATGTATTATAGCTGAGAAGAGACTATAAGAATTACATTTGGTTTACTTTAGTAAACTATGTATTAACAGTTTAGTGTTACACACATTCTAATATTTTATATTAGGTATATGTCTAACATCTATGCACATTATATATGGACCAGAAAATAATGATTAACTATTAACAAAATATTATCTATCTAAATAATGTTTATAAATGATTAACACAGTATTTATTAACCATTTAAACAAATGGTTATAATCATTGTTTATAACTTGAAAATAGCCATACAAATAATATTTAGACAGTTTACAAACCAATTATTAACGTCATTAAATTGTTGCAGATATCTGGTCCGTAACGTTTACAATTTCAGATTTTTTAAAGGTTTACTTATCGTTTTGTGATCATCAAGACATTTTTTTAATTTAATTTGATAATTAATAAATATAATTTCATTGTTAACAGTAAAATAATGATGTCTGATTTACTATCAATTCAGCATTAGTCACTATGAAGTTTGATGGGTTTGTTTCTTTTACTTTCTTTTATGTTTGGTCTAAATAAGAAACTGTTCATTTATTTGTCTATGATTCAGCATTTTCAAAGCTATAAACTGTCTTCAATTTCACTTTTTCATCCACTTGTGTTTTCCTATGTTACAGTTCAGGGCTGATGTTGACTAAGAATTGTTTTCTATTCTATTGGTCAGTAGAATTGGTTGGCATGGTTGGCCTGTGTGTGTGTGTGTGTGTGTATATGTGTGTATGTTTGTGTTTTGTGTGTGTGTGTGTGTGTGTGTGTGTGTGTGTGTGTGTGTGTGTGTGT